TCTGTGTCTCTGTCTCACTCTGTCTCTCTGTGTCTCTGTCTCTGTGTCTCTCTGTCTGTCTCTGTCTCACTCTGTTTCTCTCTGTCTGTTTCTCACTGTGTCTCTCTGTCTCACTCTGTCTGTGTGTCTCTCTCTCTCTGTCTTTGTCTCTCTGTGTCTCTCTGTCTGTCTCTGTCTCACTCTGTCTCTCTCTGTCTGTTTCTCACTGTGTCTCTCTGTCTCACTCTGTCTGTGTGTCTCTCTCTCTGTCTTTGTCTCTCTGTGTCTCTCTGTGTCTCTGTCTCACTCTGTCTCTCTGTGTCTCTGTCTCTGTGTCTCTCTGTCTGTCTCTGTCTCACTCTGTTTCTCTCTGTCTGTTTCTCACTGTGTCTCTCTGTCTCACTCTGTCTGTGTGTCTCTCTCTCTCTGTCTTTGTCTCTCTGTGTCTCTCTGTGTCTCTGTCTCACTCTGTCTCTCTGTGTCTCTGTCTCTGTGTCTCTCTGTCTGTCTCTGTCTCACTCTGTCTCTCTCTGTCTGTTTCTCACTGTGTCTCTCTGTCTCACTCTGTCTGTGTGTCTCTCTCTCTCTGTCTTTGTCTCTCTGTGTCTCTGTCTCACTCTGTCTGTGTCTCTGTCTGTGTCTCTGTCTCTCTCTCTCTGTCTGTTTTCTCACTCTGTGTCTCTGTCTCACTCTGTCTGTTTCTCTGTCTGTGGATCTGTGTCTCTGTCTCTCTCTCTCTGTCTGTCTCTCTCTGTGTCTCTGTGTCTCACTCTGTCTGTTTCTCACTCTGTGTCTCTCTGTCTCACTCTGTCTTTCTCTGTGACTCTGTGTCTCTCTCTCCCTCTCTGTCTGTCTCTCTCTCTGTCTGACTCTGTGTCTCTCTGTCTCTCTGTGTCTGTCTCTGTGTCTCTCTGTCTGTTTCTCACTCTGTCTGTGTCTCTCTGTCTCACTCTGTCTCTCTCTGTCTGACTCTGTGTCTCTCTGTCTGTTTCTCACTCTGTCTGTGTCTCTCTCTCTCACTCTGTCTCTCTCTGTCTGACTCTGTGTCTCTCTGTCTGTTTCTCACTCTGTCTGTGTCTCTCTGTCTCACTCTGTCTCTCTCTGTCTGACTCTGTGTCTCTCTGTCTGTTTCTCACTCTGTCTGTGTCTCTCTGTCTCACTCTGTCTCACTCTGTCTCACTCTGTCTCTCTGTCTCACTCTGTCTCACTCTGTGTCTGTGTCTCACTCTGTCTGTGTCTCTCTCTGTGTCTCTGTCTCACTCTGTCTGTGTCTCACTCTGTCTCTCTGTCTGTGTGTCTCTCTCTCTGTCTTCGTCTCTCTGTCTCTCTGTCTCACTCTGTCTGTGTCTCTCTCTGTCTCTCTGTCTCACTCTGTCTGTTTCTCACTCTGTTTCTCACTCTGTTTCTCTCTGTCTCTCTCTGTCTGTCTCTGTCTCTCTGTCTCTGTCTCACTCTGTCTGTGTCTCTCTGTCTGGTTGTCTCTCTGTCTGTCTCTCTCTCTGTCTTTCTGTCTGTCTCTGTCTCTCTCTGTCTCACTCTCTCTCTGTGTCTCTGTGTATTTCGTATCGGAATCGCCTCCAGTGTTGTCACTGTTGTGGCAATAAAATCTGTTCAAAAAGTCAAAGTCTCCCCCCCTCCTCCTCCCTCTCTCTGCTCCTCCCCCCTCTCCTCCCTCTCTACGAAAGGCAGCGAAACCAAACACAGAAGCCGACTCAGCAGCAGCCAGTCGGACTCGAACAGAGGAACGGGGAGAGACACAGACGGAGACACACAGAGACTCACGGAGAGAGACACAGACGGAGACACACAGAGACTCACGGAGAGAGACACAGACGGAGACACACAGAGACTCACGGAGAGAGACACAGACGGAGACACACAGAGACTCACGGAGAGACACAGACGGAGACACACAGAGACTCACGGAGAGAGACACAGACGGAGACACACAGAGACTCACGGAGAGAGACACAGACGGAGACACACAGAGACTCACGGAGAGAGACACAGACGAAGACACACAGAGACTCACGAGAGAGACACAGACGGAGACACACAGAGACTCACGGAGAGAGACACAGACGAAGACACACAGAGACTCACGGAGAGAGACACAGACGGAGACACACAGAGACTCACGGAGAGAGACACAGACGGAGACACACAGAGACTCACGGAGAGAGACACAGACGGAGACACACAGAGACTCACGGAGAGAGACACAGACGGAGACACACAGAGACTCACGGAGAGAGACACAGACGGAGAGACACACAGAGACTCACGGAGAGAGACACAGAGACTCACGGAGAGAGACGCGGTCTTGTTGTCAATCAGGTGAGTCACACAGACACAGACAAAGCTCCCCCAGGTAGCCTCTAGCAGGGCTGTAGGGGCAAGTGCTGCTAGTAGCGAGTAGCACCACCTATGATGTACACACAGACAAAGCTCCCCCAGGTAGCCTCTAGCAGGGCTGTAGGGGCAAGTGCTGCTAGTAGCGAGTAGCACCACCTATGATGTACACACAGACAAAGCTCCCCCAGGTAGCCTCTAGCAGGGCTGTAGGGGCAAGTGCTGCTAGTAGCGAGTAGCACCACCTATGATGTACACACACAGACAGAGGCAAAGCTCCCCCGGGTAGACTCTAGCAGGGCTGTAGGGGCAAGTGCGTGCTAGTAGCAGCAGCAGCGCCTATTGAAGGCTACCGGTACTGTGGCACACACACAGAGGGGATGGAGTGAGTGGTAGAGTGAGTGGTTGAGTGAGTGGTTGAGTGAGTGGTTGCGTGAGTGGTGGAGTGAGTGGTTGAGTGAGTGGTGGAGTGAGTGAGTGAGTGGTTGAGTGAGTGAGTGGTGGAGTGAGTGGTTGAGTGAGTGGTTGCGTGAGTGGTGGAGTGAGTGAGTGGTGGAGTGAGTCAGTGAGTGGTTGAGTGAGTGAGTGGTGGAGTGAGTGGTTGAGTGAGTGGTGGAGTGAGTGGTTGAGTGAGTGGTGGAGTGAGTGGTTGAGTGAGTGGTTGAGTGAGTGGTTGAGTGAGTGGTGGAGTGAGTGATTGGTGGAGTGAGTGGTTGAGTGAGTGGTGGAGTGAGTGGTTGAGTGAGTGGTTGAGTGAGTGGTGGAGTGAGTGGTGGAGTGAGTGGTTGAGTGAGTGGTGGAGTGAGTGAGTGGTTGAGTGAGTGAGTGGTGGAGTGAGTGGTTGAGTGAGTGGTGGAGTGAGTGGTTGAGTGAGTGGTTGAGTGAGTGGTGGAGTGAGTGAATGGTGAGTGAGTGGTTGAGTGAGTGGTGGAGTGAGTGGTTGAGTGAGTGGTTGAGTGAGTGGTGGAGTGAGTGGTGGAGTGAGTGGTTGAGTGAATGGTTGAGTGAGTGGTTGAGTGAGTGGTGGAGTGAGTGGTGGAGTGAGTGGTTGAGTGAGTGGTGGAGTGAGTGAGTGGTGGAGTGAGTGAGTGGTGGAGTGAGTGGTTGAGTGAGTGGTGGAGTGAGTGGTTGAGTGAGTGGTTGAGTGAGTGGTGGAGTGAGTGAGTGGTGGAGTGAGTGGTTGAGTGAGTGGTTGAGTGAGTGGTGGAGTGAGTGAGTGGTGGAGTGAGTGGTTGAGTGAGTGGTGGAGTGAGTGGTTGAGTGAGTGGTGGAGTGAGTGGTTGAGTGAGTGGTTGAGTGAGTGGTGGAGTGAGTGGTGGAGTGAGTGGTTGAGTGAATGGTTGAGTGAGTGGTTGAGTGAGTGGTGGAGTGAGTGGTTGAGTGAGTGGTTGAGTGAGTGGTTGAGTGAGTGGTGGAGTGAGTAGTGAAGTGAGTGGTGGAGTGAGTGGTTGAGTGAGTGGTTGAGTGAGTGGTTGAGTGAGTGGTGGAGTGAGTGAGTGGTTGAGTGAGTGGTTGAGTGAGTGGTTGAGTGAGTGGTTGAGTGAGTGAGTGGTGGAGTGAGTGAGTGGTGGAGTGAGTGAGTGAGTGGTGGAGTTAGTGGTTGAGTGAGTGAGTGGTGGAGTGAGTGGTGGAGTGAGTGGCACCACCTATGATACACACACAGACAAAGCTCCCCCAGGTGGCCTCTAGCAGGGCTGTAGGGGCAAGTGCTGCTGATGGAGATGGTGGTGGTGTAAGAGATGGTGGTGATGATGGGGGAAGTCTGTGGTGGACATTGCTGTGGGGTGAGGGCCAATTCCGATTGGCCTTTCCCCTCATGGCGTCTGTGACCACCACAGCGGCCAAACGGGGGCTCTGGACGGGTGCGAGGGGCTGGTAACCCCTCCACCTTCAGTTAATTACCACCAAACCACAATTTTAAAATGTAATAAGCTTGTGCCGGAGGCCCCGGGGGGACAGGCGTCTATGACGTCTCCTGGTCAAACCCCATTTGGCGGAGCCAGGAGATTGAATCTTCACCCTCGGGGCTCCTCCAGAAACAACGAAAAGCCACTTCGTGTGGCCACGTGGAATGTTGGAACGCTCACTGCGGAGGAGAGGCTGCCACTCCTCTGTCGGGAGCTGGACCGGTACCGCCTGGATCTCTGTGGTATTCAGGAGGTCCACTGGACCGGCTCTGGCTCCTGCCACCATGAGGGGTGGACAATCCTCTACTCGGGGCAGGAGACTGCCAAACAACAGGGAGTGGCTCTTCTTCTGAACAAAAGAATGAAGGGGGCGTGGGAGCGTGGCGGTGAGGTGTGGGAAGCTGTAAGCCCCAGGCTACTTTGGGCTCGCATTCCCATCAACCGGAGGCGAGGAGTGGTGGTCGTGGTTACTTATGCCCCCACCGAAGACGAACATCCGTGGAGGGATGCAGGCAAGCCGATGAGTCAGATGCCTTCTATGACCTCCTGTCACAGGTCCTGCTAAAGTGGCCACTCGGGACAGTCATCTTGTTGGGTGACTTCAATGCCCGAGTTGGTCATGATGCTGGCACCTGGTCTGGAGTGATTGGAAGGCATGGGCCAGATCAGCTCAATAACAACGGCAGGAGGCTGCTAGATTTTTGTGCAGCCCATGGGCTTGTAATTACCAACACGCTGTTCCGGCATCGGCGCATCCACACAACATCATGGATGCATGCCGGGTCCAAGCAAGAACATCTGCTGGACTACATAGTGACGGACCAGCGGATGCGGGCCCGTGTCCTTGACACCAGGACCTACCGTGGAGCTGATCTGCCCTCTGACCATCGACTTGTCATCTGTAAGATGCGCCTGCCATTCTTCCACTCCGGTGGTGGGTGTACACCCAGGACCCCATTCAAACCCTTAGTGGCCTGGTCTCAGCTAGCTGATGAAAGTTGCAAGCGAGAATTTCATCATCGCTTGCAGCTGGGGTTGGCATCGTCCCCCACTCCACCTGATGCTGAGGGGAAATGGGCGAGGTTTAGGACTGTGGCTCATGCAGCTGCAATGGCTGCTTTGGTTACATGGTCCAGACCTCCCCAGAGACCCTGGCTGACAGAGGAGGTGTTCAGGCTGGCTGAGAAAAAGCGACAGGCCCACTCTCATCGTCTACAGCATCCCACGTCGGAAAATGAGGAGGTTTACCGCAGCCTTCGCTCAGAGGTTTGGAGAGCCGTAAGGCGCTGTAAGGATGGGTGGTGGTCGCGGGTTGCTGAGGAGATGGAGTCTGCCTCAGTGGCCCGTGATCACAAATCGCTATTTAACTCCATCAAAAAGTAACCTGCAGCGCCACACCTATTACCATCATTAGGGGAAAGAACGGTGATCCAATCTCCGACCCCCAGGAACAGGTTTGCAGATTTGCTGAGCATTTCTGTGAGGTCCTGGGGGAGGGAAATTCTCTCAGCCAGGAAAACATCATGGCACAAAGTGGTGATAACCCTGCTGAGGCTGCGGTGCCTCAAATATTGGAGGAGGTCACCCCCTGTGAGTGGCTGGCTGAGGTGCCATCTGTTGAGGAAGTACTGAGGGCGATCCGGAGTCTGAGACCAGGAAAGGCACCGGGCAGAGATGATCTCCCAAGCGAATTGCTGAGGGAGGGTGGCGTTTGTGCACAGACTGCCCTATATGACATCATAACAACAGTCTGGACCACTGGACGGGTTCCGCAGGATTGGAAGGATGCCCTGGTGGTCCCCCTCTTTGAGAAGGGGGACCGCACAGACTGTAACAACTACAGGGGCATCTCACTCCTCAGTGTGCCGGGAAAGGTCCTGGCAAGGATTATTCAATATCACCTTGCTAGGCACGCTGAGGAGAGGCTTGCGGAGCCCCAATGCGGTTTCAGGAAAGGGCGGTCCTGCACAGATGCCATATTTTCTGTCCGTCCGCTACAGCAGAGGTGTAGGGAATTCCAACAAAACCTACATCTCTGCTTTATTGACCTGGTCAAGGCCTATGCTACCATCAGTAGGACTGGGCTCTGGGTTGTTCTTCGTGCTTTCGGAGTCCCTGACCCTCTGCTCACGATCATTAAGGACCTTCATGATGGTGAGCGGGCCTGGGTAAAACTACGTGGCCGGGAGTCGGAGCCTTTCCCTGTACACCTTGGGGTGCGACAGGGATGTCCTCTGGCTCCCACATTATTTAACATCTACTTTGACCACGTAGTTCGTGAAGCTGTACTGGGGGAATTTCCATTTGGTACAGATATAATAGAAGGCTAATCGATGCCCGGGTGCGGTTAAGGGATGGCTCCCTATTGGTCAACCACGTTATGTATGCCGATGATCTGGTAATTGCCACTCACTCAGAGGAGGAGTTGGAGGCGCTGCTGCTGAACCTGGAGCTTGCCAATAAGAGGTGGGGCCTTACCATCAGCCCCACCAAAACGAAGCACCTGCCTGGGTATTTTGTACCATCGGACACTCCACCCCCACAACTCCCAATCGGTGATGGGGAAGTTGTGGAGAGAGTGGAGAGTTTCCCATACCTGGGCAGTGTGCTCATGACCGGCTCCGGTTTGACAGCAGAAGTCTCACTCCGAATCAGTCGAGCGGCAATATCTTTTCATCGGTTGCGTAACGCTGTGTGGAAGCTACCTGGTCTGTCGCTCCGCATGAAGCTTCAGGTCTTCTCGGCCACAGTCATTCCCTCCCTTCTCTACGCTTGCGAAACGTGGACCCCCCTAATGGAGCATCTTCGCCGGTTAGAAACATTTAGGCTGGCCTGCCTACGATCCAACCTGGGTTTAACCAGGCTGGATTGTGTGAGGAGCTCACAAATCCTTGAAAGATCTGGGCAAAGTCCCATCAGTGAGCTCCTCCGGCAGGCAAGGCTGCGTTGGCTGGGTCATGTAGCCCGCATGCCCAGCCACCGCATGCCTAAACAGCTTTTGTTCGGCCGGATCGAGGGGTCTAAACGGACGCGGCACGGGCTAGAGAAGAGATGGAGTGATGTGGTACAGGAGGACGTGTAGCTGAGTGGACTTGCCGATGACTGGTACCAGCGGTGTCAGGATCGGCCTCTGTGGAGGAGGCTCGTGAAGGATGCCACTGGGCAGATGGAGGCAGTCGCCCTCCAACAACAACGGAGGGCGGAGGAGCGACGCTCACAACAACGAGCGGAGCGCCGGGTGGCTAAAGCACAGCAAGTTGGCACAGTAGGGGGCACAGGTGGTGCATCAGCCAGTCATCTCGGTCAGTCGACCCGTGGCACCTGCTGGGTCTGCCCCGTGACCTCCTGCCAGCGGGCGTTCGACACTTCACGTGATGGCCTCAAGGTGCACATGGCCTGGCACAAGCGTCGTGGTGACGTCACCACCACTTAGTGGCGAATGGCGGTTGTTGTTGTTGTTGTGTGGTGGGGGTGTAATAGAGAGAGAGAGAGATGAGGGTGTTTGTGATGGTGGTGATGGTGGTGGTGATGGTGGTGGTGATGGTGGTGGTGATGGTGGTGGTGTGAGAGAGAGATGGTGGTGGTGGTGATGGTGGTGATTGTGGTGATGGTGGTGGTGTTGGAGGTGATGGTGATGATGTAAGAGAGAGATGGTGGTGGTGTAAGAGACAGAGATAAGAGTGTTTGTGGTGATGTCTGGTTCTGTGTCTGCATGCGACACGAGGCGACTCGTGCCAAGATACATTCTCCATAACGTCCCCCAACGTTTGTTTTACGTCGAGACCAGCGCGTGGTGAGGGTGGCAGTGTGGCTCTGTGTGTCCGTGTGTGTGTGAGTCTGTGTGTGTGTGTGTCTGTGTGTGTCTGTCTGTGTGTGTGAGTCTGTGTGTGTCTGTGTGTGTGTGTGTGAGTCTGTGGGTTTGTGTGTGTGTGTGAGTCTGTGTGTGTGTGTCTGTCTGTGTGTGTGTGTCTGTGGGTGAGTCTGTGGGTCTCTATGTGATGAGTCTGTGGGTCTCTGTGTGGTGGTGAGTCTGTGTGTGTCTGTGTGTGTGTGTGTCTGTGTGTGAGTCTGTGGGTGAGTCTGTGGGTCTCTATGTGATGAGTCTGTGGGTCTCTGTGTGGTGGTGAGTCTGTGTGTCTGTGTGTGTGTGTGTGTCTGTGTGTGAGTCTGTGGGTGAGTCTGTGGGTCTCTATGTGATGAATCTGTGGGTCTCTGTGTGGTGGTGAGTCTGTGTGTCTGTGTGTGTGTGTCTGTGTGTGAGTCTGTGGGTGAGTCTGTGGGTCTCTATGTGATGAGTCTGTGGGTCTCTGTGTAGTGGTGAGTCTGTGTGAGTCTGTGTGTGTGTGTGAGTCTGTGTGTGTGTGTGTCTGTGTGTGAGTCTGTGTGTGTGTCCGTGTCTGTGTGTGTCTGTGTGTGTCTGTGTGTGTGTGTCTGTGTGTGAGTGTCTGTGTGTGAGTCTGTGTGAGTCTGTGGGTCTGTGTGTGTGTGAGTCTGTGGGTCTCTGTGTGGTGGTGAGTCTGTGTGTGTCTGTGTGTGTGTGAGTCTGTGTGTGTGTGTGTGAGTCTGTGGGTCTCTGTGTGGTGGTGAGTCTGTGTGTGTCTGTGTGTGTGTGAGTCTGTGTGTGTGTGTGAGTCTGTGTGTGTGTGTGTGAGAGTCTGTGGGTGTCTGTCTGTGTGTGTGTGTGTGAGAGTCTGTGGGTGTCTGTCTGTGTGTGTGAGTCTGTGTGTGTGTGTCTGTCTGTGTGTGTGTGTCTGTGGGTGAGTCTGTGGGTCTCTATGTGATGAGTCTGTGGGTCTCTGTGTGGTGGTGAGTCTGTGTGTGTCTGTGTGTGTGTGTCTGTGTGTGAGTCTGTGGGTGAGTCTGTGGGTCTCTATGTGATGAGTCTGTGGGTCTCTGTGTGGTGGTGAGTCTGTGTGTGTGTGTCTGTGTGTGAGTCTGTGGGTGAGTCTGTGGGTCTCTGTGTGGTGGTGAGTCTGTGTGTGTGTGTCTGTGTGTGAGTCTGTGGGTGAGTCTGTGGGTCTCTATGTGATGAGTCTGTGGGTCTCTGTGTGGTGGTGAGTCTGTGTGTCTGTGTGTGTGTGTCTGTGTGTGAGTCTGTGGGTGAGTCTGTGGGTCTCTATGTGATGAGTCTGTGGGTCTCTGTGTAGTGGTGAGTCTGTGTGAGTCTGTGTGTGTGTGAGTCTGTGTGTGTGTGTGTCTGTGTGTGAGTCTGTGTGTGTGTCTGTGTGTGTCTGTGTGTGTGTGTCTGTGTGTGAGTGTCTGTGTGTGTGTGTGAGTCTGTGTGAGTCTGTGGGTCTGTGTGTGTGTGAGTCTGTGGGTCTCTGTGTGGTGGTGAGTCTGTGTGTCTGTGTGTGTGTGAGTCTGTGTGTGTGTGTGTGAGTCTGTGTGTGTGTGTGAGAGTCGGTGGTGTCTGTCTGTGTGTGTGAGTCTGTGTGTGTGTGTCTGTGTGTGTGTGTGTCTGTGTGTGTGTGAGTCTGTGTGTGTGTGAGTGTCTGTGTGTGTGTCTGTGTGTGTGTCTGTGTGTCTGTGTGTGTGTGTCTGTGTGTGTGTGTCTGTGTGTGTGTCTGTGTGTGTGTCACTGTGTGTGTCTGTGTGTGTGTCTGTGTGTGTGTGTATGTGTGTGAGTCTGTGAGTGAGTCTGTGAGTGAGTCTGTGGGTCTCTGTGTGGTGGTGAGTCTGTGTGTGTCTGTGTGTGAATCTGTGTGTCTGTGTGTGTGTCTGTGTGTGAGTCTCTGTGTGGTGGTGAATCTGTGTGTATCTGTGTGTCTGCAGGAAGTGAAATGTGCCGTGCAAGTCCCAATGAGAAACCCAACACGGGCAGACGGCAGTGGTAATTCTACACCCCTACACTTTACCATAGAGCCCTACCACTTTACCATAGAGCCCTTCACTTCACCATAGTCCCCTTCACTTCACCATAGTCCCCTTCACCATAGTCCCCTATCACTTTACCATAGTCCCCATCACTTCACCATAGACCTCTAGCACTACCCCTAACCCTGCCATTAACTCTCCCCCCTACCCCCCCCGTGACCCCCCCTTGACCCCCCGTGACCCCTCCCATGACCCCCCCGTGACCCCCCCGTGACCCCTCCCATGACCCCCCGTGACCCCCCGTGACCACCCCTTTGACCCCTCTTTGACCCCTCCCATGACCACCCCTTTGACCTCCCTTTCACCCCTCCCATGACCCCCCCGTGACCCCCCCGTGACCCCCCCTCCCATGACCCCCCCCTTGACCCCCCCTATGATCCCCTCATGACCCCCCCATGACCCCCCGTGACCACCCATTTGACCCCTCTTTGACCCCCCGTGACCCCCCTTTGACCCCTCCCATGACCCCCCCGTGACCACCCCTTTGACCCCTCTTTGACCCCCCTTGACCCCCCCCGTGACCCCTCCCATGACCCCCCCGTGGCCCCCCCATGCCCCCCCCATACCCCCCCCCCGTGACCACCCCTTTGACCCCCCTTTGACCCCTCCCATGCCCCCCCCCGTGACCACCCCTTTGACCCCCCTTTGACCCCTCCCATGACCACCCCTTTGACCCCCCTTTGACCCCTCCCATGACCCCCCGTGACCCCCCATGACCCCACCTTGACCCCCCCATGACCCCCACCCCCCCCCCCCCAGGTTGTCGCTGCCTCGCCTCTCGCTGCGTCGTCGCCTGTGGCGCCTCTCCACCTCCGTGGGGGGAGGGGCGGGGGGAGGGGCGGGGGGAGGGGCGGGGGGAGGGGCGGGGGGAGGGGCGGGGGGAGGGGCTGGGGGAGGAAGCCCCCCCCGCCCCTCCCCCCTGCGGCCGAGTCTGCCCCTCCGTGCGCTGCGCCGGGGACTGGCTCTACACAGCTGCCTGCACAGGGTGAGCACACACTCACCACCACCAGCACCACCACCAGCACCAGCAGCAGCCTCACCACCCTCACCTTCACCCTCACCAGCCTCACCACCACCATCACCACCACCAGCAGCAGCACCACCCTCACCACCAGCACCCTCACCAGCAGCCCTCACCACCAGCACCACCAGCCTCACCTTCACCCTCACCAGCCTCACCACCACCACCACCAGCAGCAGCACCACCCTCACCACCACCACCAGCCTCACCACCACCATCACCAGCAGCAGCACCATCACCACCAGCCTCACCACCATCACCACCATCATCACCAGCCTCACCAGCCTCACCACCACCATCACCACCATCACCACCAGCCTCACCACCATCACCACCATCATCACCAGCCTCACCACAAGCCTCACCACCACCACCATCACCACCACCACCACCAGCCTCACCAGCCTCACCAGCCTCACCACCAGCATCACCACCATCACCACCAGCCTCACCACCATCACCACCATCATCACCAGCCTCACCAGCCTCACCACCACCATCACCACCATCACCACCAGCCTCACCACCATCACCACCATCATCACCAGCCTCACCACAAGCCTCACCACCACCACCACCACCACCCTCACCAGCCTCACCACCACCACCCTCACCACCAGCCTCACCACCACCAGCCTCACCACCAGCCTCACCACCACCACCCTCACCACCACCCCCCTCACCAGCCTCACCACCCTCACCACCATCACCACCCTCACCACCACCCTCACCACCACCCTCACCACCACCACCACCCTCACCACCACCATCACCACCACCCTCACCACCCTCACCACCATCACCCTGCTACCAATGCCACCCTCACGACCCTCACTTACAAACACCCCCACTTACGAACACCTCCACTTACGAACACCCCCACTTACGAACACCTCTACTTACGAACACTACCACTCACGAACACCCCACTTACGAACACCCCCACTTACGACACCTCAACTTACGAACACCCCCACTTACGAACACCTCCACTTACGAACACCCCCACTTACGAACACCTCCACTTACGAACACCCCCACTTACGGACACCCCCACTTACGAACACCCCCACTTACGAACACCTCCACTTACGAACACCCCCACTTACGAACACCTCCACTTACGATTACCCCCATTTACGAACACCTCTACTTACGAACACCTCCACTTACGAACACCCCCACTTACGAACACCCCCACTTACGAACACCTCCACTTACGAACACCTCCACTTACGAACACCCCCACTTACGAACACCCCCACTTACGAACACCCCCACTCACGAACACCTCCACTTACGAACACCACCACTTACGAACACCCCCACTTACGAACACCTCCACTTACGAACACCCCCACTTACGAACACCTCAACTTACGAACACCCCCACTTACGAACACCCCCACTTACGAACACCCCCACTCAAGAACACCCCCATTTACGAACACCTCCACTTACGAACACCCCCACTTACAAACACCCCCACTTACGAACACCGCAACTCACGAACACCTCCACTTACGAACACCCCCACTTACGAACACCTCTACTTACGAACACCCCCACTTACGAACACTTCCACTTACGAACACCCCCACTTACGAACACCTCCACTTACGAACACCTCCACTTACGATCACCCCCATTTACGAACACCTCCACTTACGAACACCCCCACTTACGAACACCGCCACTCACGAACACCTCCACTTACGAACACCCCCACTTACGAACACCTCTACTTACGAACACCCCCACTTACGAACACTTCCACTTACGAACACCCCCACTTACGAACACCTCCACTTACGAACACCTCCACTTACGAACACCTCCACTTACGAACACCCCCACTTACGAACACCTCCACTTACGAACACCCCCACTTACGAACACCCTCACTTACGAACACCCCCACTTACGAACACCTCCACTTACGAACACCCCCACTTACGAACACCCCCACTTACGAACACCCCCGCTTACAAACAAACACCTCCACTTACGAACACCCCCACTTACGAACACCCCCACTTTCGAACACTCCCACTCACGAACACCTCCACTTACGAACACCCCCACTTACGAACACCTCTACTTACGAACACCCCCACTTACGAACACCTCCACTTACGAACACCTCCACTTACGAACACCTCCACTTACGAACACCTCCACTTACGAACACCCCCACTTACGAACACCCCCACTTACGAACACCTCCACTTACGAACATCCCCACTTATGAACACCTCCACTTACGAACACCTCCACTTACGAACACCCCCACTTACGAACACCTCCACTTACGAACACCCCCACTTACGAACACCTCCACTTACGAACACCCCCACTTACGAACACCCCCCTTCCCCCTCTCCCCCCCTCCCCCCCCCCCTCCTCCCTCCCCCCCTCCCCCCCCCCCTCCTCTCCACCCCCTCCCCCCTCCCCCCCACCTCTCCCCCCTCCCCCTCCCCCCCTCCCCCCCCTCCTCCCTCCCCCTCTCTCCCCCCCTCCCCCCACCCTCCTCTCCCCCCCCCTCCCTCTCCCCCCCCCCTCCCTCTCCCCCCCTCCCCCCCTCCCCCTCCCTCTACCCCCTCCCCTCCACCCTCCCCCCCCCTCCCCCCCCCTCCCCCCCCCTCCCCTCCCCCCCCCTCCCCTCCACCCTCCCCCCCCCTCCCCCCCCCCTCCCCTCCCCTCCCCTCCTCCCTCCCCCTCTCTCCCCCTCCCCCACCCCCCCTCTCCCCCCCCCTTCCTTCTCCCCCCCTCCTTCTCCCACCCTCCCCCCTTCCCCCCTCGCCCTCCCCTCCCCCCCTCTCTCCCCCCTCCCCCCCCACCTCTCCCCCCTCCCCTCCCCCCCTCCCCCCCCTCCCTCCACCCCCTCCCCTCCACCCTCCCCCCCCTCCCCCCTCCCTCTCCCCCCCCCTCCCCCCCTCCCCTCCCCCCCCTCCCCCCTCCCCCCTCCCCCCCTCCCCCTCCCCCCTCCCCCCTCCCCCCCCTCCCCCACCCCCCTTCCCCCCTCCCCCCTTCCCCCCCTCCCCTCCCCCTCCCCCCCCAGCTGTGCGTGTCCGTGTTGGCCGTGGCTGCCCCCACGCGGCTGCTGTCCCGTGCGTGGGGCCGCCTGCACGGCCTCGTGCTGCCCGCCTGCCTGCGCGCGCACCTGCTGGGCCTCTTCGTGTGGGCATTCCACGTTGACATGGCCGAGGCCCAGGAGGGCGACCTGCGGCAATACCCAAACCTGGGGGAGCTCTTCCGCAGGCCGCTACGAGCCGGGGCTCGGCCAATCAGCAGGCGGCATTCGCTGGTGAGGGGGGAGGGGCTGTGAGGGGGGAGGCTACCTGGGGGAGCTTTGTCTGTGTGTACATCATAGGTGGTGCTACTCGCCACTAGCAGCACTTGCCCCTGCAGCCCTGCTAGAGGCTACCTGGGGGACCTTTGCATGTGTCTGTGTGCCAGGTGTCACCTGCGGATGGCCGCGTGCTGCACCTGGGCCGCGTGGGGCCCGACGGCCTCCTGGAGCAGGTCAAGGGGGTCACCTACAGCCTGGAAGCCTTCCTGGGCCCACGTACAGACACACTCACACACACAGACACACACAGACACACACTCACACACACAGACACACACACACTCATACACAGATACACACACAGACACACACACTCACACACTCACACACAGACACACACACACAGACACACACTCACACACACAGACACACACAGACACACACACACACACTCACACACACAGACACACACACACAGACACACACTCACACACACAGACACACACAGACACACACACACTCATACACAGATACACACACACAGACACACTCACAGACACTCACACACAGACACACACACAGACACACACACACACAGACACACACACAGACACACACAGACACACACACTCACACAGACACACACACACAGATACACACAGATACACTCACAGACACTCACACACAGACACACACAGACACACACACACACACAGACACACACACAGACACACACACACAGACACACAGACAGACACACACACACACAGACACACACACAGACACACACCACAGACACACAGACACACACACACACAGACACACACACACACAGACACACACACAGACACACACACACAGATACACACAGAGAGACACTCACTCACACACACACAGACACACACACTTCCCCCCATCCCCCCTCCCCCATCCCCCCTCCCCCATCCCCCTCCCCTAATCCCCCTCTCCCACCCCCCTTCTTCCCCCCTCCCCCCCACCCCCCCCACCCCCCCTCACCCCCCTACCCCCACCCCCCTCCCCCCACCCCCCTACCCCCCTCTTCCCCCCTCCCCCACCCACCCCCCTCCCCCACCCCCCCCACCCCCCTCCCCCACCCCCCCCACCCCCCCTCACCCCCCTACCCCCACCCCCCTACCCCCACCCCCCACCCCCCACCCCCCCTCCCCCCTCCCCCTCCCCCGCTAGACCCGGGTTGCAGTGGTGAGCGCGTGCCCGTGCGTGCGGGTCACGTGCTGTTCCACGTGGTGGTCTACCTGGCGCCGGGCGACTACCACCGCTTCCACTCGCCCGCCAGGTGGACAATGCAGCACCGCAGACACTTCCCTGGTGAGTCACTCACTGTGACACACACAGTGACACACACACACAGACACACACACACAGTGACACACACACAGTGACACACACTGACACACACACACACACACTGTGACACACACACACAGTGACACACACACACTGTGACACACACACACTGTGACACACACACACTGTGACACACACACACTGTGACACACACACACTCACACAGTGACACACACACACACACACTGTGACACACACACACAGTGACACACACACACTGTCACACACACACAGTGACACACACACACAGACACAGACACACACTGACACAGTGACACACACACACACACAGACACACTGACACACACTGACACACACACACTGACACACACAGTGACACACTCACACTGACACACACACTGACACACACAGACACACAGACACACACAGACACACACACAGACACACACAGAGTGACAAACACACTGACACACACACAGAGTGACAAACACACTGACACACACACACAGACATACACACAGACACTCACACAGATACACTCACTCATACAGATGTAATGGGTTCCGGAGACACTTGTAGAGGTAACTTCTTTATTACAATCCAACACTCCAACAGTCCTGATACTCTGTTACAGCCTAGGTACACAGCCTAGGTACACAGCCTAGATACACAGCCTAGGTACACAGCCTAGGTACACAGCCTAGGTAGACAGCCTAGATACACAGCCTAGGTACACAGCCTAGGTACACAGCCTAGGTAGACAGCCTAGGTACACAGCTTAGATACACAGCCTAGGTAGACAGCCTAGATACACAGCCTAGGTACACAGCCTAGGTACACAGCCTAGGTAGACAGCCTAGGTACACAGCTTAGATACACAGCCTAGGTACACAGCCTAGGTACACAGCCGAGGTACACAGCCTAGGTAGACAGCCTAGATACACAGCCTAGGTACACAGCCTAGGCACACAGCCTAGGTACACAGCCTAGGTACACAGCCTAGGTACACAGCCTAGGCACACAGCCTAGGCACACAGCCTAGGTACACAGCCTAGATACACAGCCTAGGTACACAGCCTAGGCACACAGCCTAGGCACACAGCCTAGGTACACAGCCTAGGTACACAGCCTAGGTACACAGCCTAGGTACACAGCCTAGGTACACAGCCTAGGCACACAGCCTAGGCACACAGCCTAGGTACACAGCCTAGGTACACAGCCTAGGTACAAGCCTAGGTACGCAGCCTAGGTACACAGCCTAGATACACAGCCTAGGTACAAAGCCTAGGTACACAGCCTAGCGACACAGCCTAGGTACACAGCCTAGATACACAGCCTAGGTACACAGCCTAGGTACACAGCCTAGGTACACAGCCTAGGTACACAGCCGAGGTACACAGCCTAGGTACACAGCCTAGGTAGACAGCCTAGGTACACAGCCTAGGTACACAGCCTAGGTACACAGCCTAGGTACACAGCCGAGGTAGACAGCCTAGGTACACAGCCTAGGTACACAGCCTAGGTACACAGCCTAGGTACACAGCCTAGGTACACAGCCTAGGTACACAGCCTAGGTACACAGCCTAGATACACAGCCTAGGTACACAGCCTAGGTACACAGCCTAGGTACACAGCCTAGGTACACAGCCTAGGTACACAGCCTAGGTACACAGCCGAGGTACACAGCCTAGGTACACAGCCTAGGTACACAGCCTAGGTACACTGCCTAGGTACACAGCCTAGGTACACAGCCTAGATACACAGCCTAGGTACACAGCCTAGATACACAGCCTAGGTACACAGCCTAGGTACACAGCCTAGGTACACAGCCTAGGTACACAGCCTAGGCACACAGCCTAGATACACAGCCTAGGTACACAGCCTAGATACACAGCCTAGGTACACAGCCTAGGTACACAGCCTAGGTACACAGCCGAGGTAGACAGCCTAGGTACACAGCCTAGGTAGACAGCCTAGATACACAGCCTAGATACACAGCCTAGGTACACAGCCTAGCTACACAGCCTAGGTACACAGCCTAGGGACACAGCCTAGGTACACAGCCTAGGCACACAGCCTAGATACACAGCCTAGGTACACAGCCTAGGTACACAGCCTAGGTACACAGCCTAGGCACAAAGCCTAGATACACAGCCTAGGTACACAGCCTAGATACACAGCCTAGGTACACAGCCTAGGTACACAGCCTAGGTAGACAGCCTAGATAGACAGCCTAGATACACAGCCTAGGGACACAGCCTAGATACACAGCCTAGGTACACAGCCTAGGCACACAGCCTAGATACACAGCCTAGGTACACAGCCTAGGTACACAGCCTAGATACACAGCCTAGGTACACAGCCTAGATACACAGCCTAGATACACAGCCTAGGCATACAGCCTAGCTACACAGCCTAGGTACACAGCCTAGGTACACAGCCCAGATACACAGCCTAGATACACAGCCTAGGTACACAGCCTAGGTACACAGCCTAGGTACACAGCCTAGATACACAGCCTAGGCACACAGCCTAGATACACAGCCTAGATACAGAGCCTAGGTACACAGCCTAGATACACAGCCTAGGTACACAGCCTAGGTACACAGCCTAGATACACAGCCTAGGCACACAGCCTAGATACACAGCCTAGATACACAGCCTAGGTACACAGCCTAGGTACACAGCCTAGGTACACAGCCTAGGTACACAGCCTAGGTACACAGCCTAGGTACACAGCCTAGGCACACAGCCTAGGTACACAGCCTAGATACACAGTCTAGATACACAGCCTAGGCACACAGCCTAGATACACAGCCTAGATACACAGCCTAGGTACACAGCCTAGCTACACAGCCTAGGTACACAGCCTAGGTACACAGCCTAGGTACACAGCCTAGGTACACAGCCTAGGGACACAGCCTAGGTACACAGCCTAGACACACAGCCTAGGTACACAGCCTAGATACACAGCCTAGGTACACAGCCTAGGTACACAGCCTAGGTACACAGCCTAGGTACACAGCCTAGATACACAGCCTAGGTACACAGCCTAGGTACACAGCCTAGGTACACAGCCTAGATACACAGCCTAGGCACACAGCCTAGATACACAGCCTAGATACAGAGCCTAGGTACACAGCCTAGATACACAGCCTAGGTACACAGCCTAGGTACACAGCCTAGATACACAGCCTAGGCACACAGCCTAGATACACAGCCTAGATACACAGCCTAGGTACACAGCCTAGGTACACAGCCTAGGTACACAGCCTAGGTACACAGCCTAGGCACACAGCCTAGGTACACAGCCTAGATACACAGTCTAGATACACAGCCTAGGCACACAGCCTAGATACACAGCCTAGGTACACAGCCTAGGCACACAGCCTAGGTACACAGCCTAGGTACACAGCCTAGGTACACAGCCTAGGCACACAGCCTAGGTACACAGCCTAGATACACAGTCTAGATACACAGCCTAGGCACACAGCCTAGGGACACAGCCTAGGTACACAGCCTAGGTACACAGCCTAGGTACACAGCCTAGACACACAGCCTAGGTACACAGCCTAGATACACAGCCTAGGTACACAGCCTAGGTACACAGCCTAGGTACACAGCCTAGGTACACAGCCTAGGTACACAGCTTAGGTACACAGCCGAGGTACACAGCCTAGGTACACAGCCTAGGTACACAGCCTAGGTACACAGCCTAGGTACACAGCCTAGATACACAGCCTAGGTACACAGCCTAGGTACACAGCCTAGGTACACAGCCTAGGCACACAGCCTAGATACACAGCCTAGGTACACAGCCTAGGTACACAGCCTAGGTACACAGCTAAGGTACACAGCCTAGGTACACAGCCTAGGTACACAGCCTAGATACACAGCCTAGGTTACACAGCCTAGGTACACAGCCTAGGTACACAGCCTAGGTACACAGCCTAGTACAAGCCTAGGCACACAGCCTAGGCACCAGCCTAGATACACAGTCTAGATACACAGCCTAGGCACACAGCCTAGATACACAGCCTAGATACACAGCCTAGGTACACAGCCTAGGTACACAGCCTAGGTACACAGCCTAGGTACACAGCCTAGGCACACAGCCTAGGTACACAGCCTAGATACACAGTCTAGATACACAGCCTAGGCACACAGCCTAGATACACAGCCTAGATACACAGCCTAGGTACACAGCCTAGCTACACAGCCTAGGTACACAGCCTAGGTACACAGCCTAGATACACAGCCTAGGTACACAGCCTAGGGACACAGCCTAGGTACACAGCCTAGACACACAGCCTAGGTACACAGCCTAGATACACAGCCTAGGTACACAGCCTAGGTACACAGCCTAGGTACACAGCCTAGATACACAGCCTAGGTACACAGCCTAGGTACACAGCCTAGGTACACAGCCTAGATACCACAGCCTAGGCACACAGCCTAGATACACAGCCTAGATACAGAGCCTAGGTACACAGCCTAGATACACAGCCTAGGTACACAGCCTAGGTACACAGCCTAGATACACAGCCTAGGCACACAGCCTAGATACACAGCCTAGATACACAGCCTAGGTACACAGCCTAGGTACACAGCCTAGGTACACAGCCTAGGTACACAGCCTAGGTACACAGCCTAGGCACACAGCCTAGGTACACAGCCTAGATACACAGTCTAGATACACAGCCTAGGCACACAGCCTAGATACACAGCCTAGATACACAGCCTAGGTACACAGCCTAGGCACACAGCCTAGGTACACAGCCTAGGTACACAGCCTAGGTACACAGCCTAGGCACACAGCCTAGGTACACAGCCTAGATACACAGTCTAGATACACAGCCTAGATACACAGCCTAGATACACAGCCTAGGTACACAGCCTAGCTACACAGCCTAGGTACACAGCCTAGGTACACAGCCTAGGTACACAGCCTAGGTACACAGCCTAGGGACACAGCCTAGGTACACAGCCTACGTACACAGCCTAGGTACACAGCCTAGACACACAGCCTAGGTACACAGCCTAGATACACAGCCTAGGTACACAGCCTAGGTACACAGCCTAGGTACACAGCCTAGGTACACAGCTTAGGTACACAGCCGAGGTACACAGCCTAGGTACACAGCCTAGGTACACAGCCTAGGTACACAGCCTAGGTACACAGCCTAGATACACAGCCTAGGTACACAGCCTAGGTACACAGCCTAGGTACACAGCCTAGGCACACAGCCTAGGTACACAGCCTAGGTACACAGCCTAGGTACACAGCCTAGGTACACAGCTTAGGTACACAGCCTAGGTACACAGCCTAGGTACACAGCCTAGATACACAGCCTAGGCACACAGCCTAGATACACAGCCTAGGTACACAGCCTAGGTACACAGCCTAGGTACACAGCTTAGGTACACAGCCTAGGTACACAGCCTAGGTACACAGCCTAGATACACAGCCTAGGTACACAGCCTAGGTACACAGCCTAGGTACACAGCCTAGGTACACAGCCTAGGTACACAGCTTAGATACACAGCCTAGGGACACAGCCTAGGTACACAGCCTAGGTACACAGCCTAGGTACACAGCCTAGGTACACAGCCTAGGCACACAGCCTAGGTACACAGCCCAGATACACAGCCTAGATACACAGCCTAGGTACACAGCCTAGGTACACAGCCTAGGCACACAGCCTAGATACACAGCCTAGGCACACAGCCTAGATACACAGCCTAGGTACACAGCCTAGGTACACAGCCCAGATACACAGCCTAGATACACAGCCTAGGTACACAGCCTAGGTACACAGCCTAGATACACAGCCTAGGCACACAGCCTAGGTACACAGCCTAGATACACAGCCTAGGTACACAGCCTAGGCACACAGCCTAGATACACAGCCTAGATACACAGCCTAGGTACACAGCCTAGGGACACAGCCTAGGTACACAGCCTAGGCACACAACCTAGATACACAGCCTAGGTACACAGCCTAGGTACACAGCCTAGGTACACAGCCTAGGTACACAGCCTAGGCACACAGCCTAGGTACACAGCCTAGATACACAGTCTAGATACACAGCCTAGGCACACAGCCTAGATACACAGCCTAGATACACAGCCGAGGTACACAGCCTAGGTACACAGCCTAGGTACACAGCCTAGGTACACAGCCTAGGTACACAGCCTAGGTACACAGCCTAGACACACAGCCTAGGTACACAGCCTAGATACACAGCCTAGATACACAGCCTAGGTACACAGCCTAGGTACACAGCCTAGATACACAGCCTAGATACACAGCCTAGCTACACAGCCTAGATACACAGCCTAGGTACACAGCCTAGATACACAGCCTAGATACACAGCCTAGGAAGGTACACAGCCTAGGTACACAGCCTAGGTACACAGCCTAGGTACACAGCCTAGGTACACAGCCTAGGTACACAGCCTAGGTACACAGCCTAGGTACACAGCCTAGGTACACAGCCTAGGTACACAGCCTAGGTACACAGCCTAGGTACACAGCCTAGGTACACAGCCGAGGTAGACAGCCTAGGTACACAGCCTAGGTACACAGCCTAGGTACACAGCCTAGGTACACAGCCTAGATACACAGCCTAGGTAGACAGCCTAGGTACACAGCCTAGGTACACAGCCGAGGTACACAGCCTAGGTACACAGCCTAGGTAGACAGCCTAGGTACACAGCCTAGGTACACAGCCTAGATACACAGCCTAGGTACACAGCCTAGGTACACAGCCTAGGTACACAGCCTAGGTACACAGCCTAGGTACACTGCCTAGGTACACAGCCTAGGTACACAGCCTAGGTACACAGCCTAGGTACACAGCCTAGGTACACAGCCTAGATACACTGCCTAGGTACACAGCCGAGGTACACAGCCTAGGTACACAGCCTAGGTACACAGCCTAGGTACACAGCCTAGGTACACAGCCTAGGTACACAGCCGAGGTAGACAGCCTAGGTACACAGCCTAGGTACACAGCCTAGGTACACAGCCTAGGTACACAGCCTAGATACACAGCCTAGGTAGACAGCCTAGGTACACAGCCTAGGTACACAGCCGAGGTACACAGCCTAGGTACACAGCCTAGGTAGACAGCCTAGGTACACAGCCTAGGTACACAGCCTAGGTACACAGCCTAGATACACAGCCTAGGTACACAGCCTAGGTACACAGCCTAGGTACACAGCCTAGGTACACTGCCTAGGTACACAGCCTAGGCACACAGCCTAGGTACACAGCCGAGGTAGACAGCCTAGGTACACAGCCTAGGTACACAGCCTAGGTACACAGCCTAGGCACACAGCCTAGACACACAGCCTAGGCACACAGCCTAGATACACAGCCTAGGTACACAGCCTAGGTACACAGCCTAGGTACACAGCCTAGGCACACAGCCTAGGCACACAGCCTAGGCACACAGCCTAGACACACAGTCTAGGTACACAGCCTAGATACACAGCCTAGGTACACAGCCTAGGTACACAACCTAGGCACACAGCCTAGGCACACAGCCTAGGCACACAGCCTAGGTACACAGCCTAGATACACAACCTAGGTACACAGCCTAGATACACAGCCTAGGTACACAGCCTAGGCACACAGCCTAGGTACACAGCCTAGGTACACAGCCTAGATACACAGCCTAGGTACACAGCCTAGATACACAGCCTAGGTACACAGCCTAGATACACAGCCTAGGTACACAGCCTAGATACACAGCCTAGGTACACAGCCTAGATACACAGCCTAGGCACACAGCCTAGGCACACTGCCTAGGTACACAGCCTAGGTACACAGCCTAGATACACTGCCTAGGTACACAGCCGAGGTACACAGCCTAGGTACACAGCCTAGGTAGACAGCCTAGGTACACAGCCTAGGTACACCTACACAGCCTAGGTACACAGCCGAGGTAGACAGCCTAGGTACACAGCCTAGGTACACAGCCTAGGTACACAGCCTAGGTACACAGCCTAGATACACAGCCTAGGTAGACAGCCTAGGTACACAGCCTAGGTACACAGCCGAGGTACACAGCCTAGGTACACAGCCTAGGTAGACAGCCTAGGTACACAGCCTAGGTACACAGCCTAGGTACACAGCCTAGATACACAGCCTAGATACACAGCCTAGGTACACAGCCTAGATACACAGCCTAGGTACACAGCCTAGATACACAGCCTAGGTACACAGCCTAGGCACACAGCCTAGGTACACAGTCTAGGTACACAGCCTAGATACACAGCCTAGATACACAGCCTAGGCACACAGCCTAGGCACACTGCCTAGGTACACAGCCTAGGCACACAGCCTAGGTACACAGCCTAGGTACACAGCCTAGGTACACAGTCTATGTACACAGCCTAGATACACAGCCTAGATACACAGCCTAGGCACACAGCCTAGGCACACTGCCTAGGTACACAGCCTAGGCACACAGCCTAGGTACACAGCCTAGGTACACAGCCTAGATACACAGCCTAGGCACACAGCCTAGGCACACTGCCTAGGTACACAGCCTAGGCACACAGCCTAGGTACACAGCCTAGGTACACAGCCGAGGCACACAGCCTAGGCACACAGCCTAGGTACACAGCCTAGGCACACAGCCTAGGCACACTGCCTAGGTACACAGCCTAGGCACACAGCCTAGGTACACAGCCTAGGTACACAGCCTAGGTACACAGCCTAGGTACACAGCCTAGGTACACAGCCTAGGTACACAGCCTAGGCACACAGCCTAGATACACAGCCTAGGTACACAGCCTAGGCACACAGCCTAGGTACACAGCCGAGGCACACAGCCTAGGCACACAGCCTAGGTACACAGCCTAGGTACACAGCCTAGGTACACAGCCGAGGCACACAGCCTAGGTACACAGCCTAGGCACACAGCCTAGGTACACAGCCTAGGTACACAGCCTAGGTACACAGCCTAGGTACACAGCCTAGGTACACAGCCGAGGCACACAGCCTAGGTACACTACTCTGGCTACGCTCTGGAACTCGCTCGCCCTCACAAGGACGTAGAGACGGGAGTTCCAGAGTCCCACCACTGGCCCTCACAGCATCTCAGGGTCCTCCGATGGCTGGTCTTGGGTCTTGGGTCTTGAGCTACAACTGGCCCTGATCGTCCAGGGAGCTCCCCTTGTATGCCTCGTCCCCAACGAGGGGTGGGGCCGTGTGCGCCCCCAGACATCCCACAGAGCACACACAGCCCCCCCCCCCCCCGTTGGTGGCGCCAAGGGGCTTAAGCGTCTGGGTTGCCTGGGGTCCCAGAGCCCCCAGCAGCCCCTCCCCTCTTATGTCACTACACAGACACTCATACACTCACTCGTACACAGATACACTCACACACACAGACACACACAGAGACACACACACACAGTGACACACACACTGACACACACACACACTGACACACACACACTGACACACACACACAGTGACACACACACACACTGACACACACACACACAGTGACACACACACACTGACACACACACACTGACACACACACTGTCTCCCACAGGCCGTCTTGTACCCGTGAGCCCGCGCGTGTCTCGCTACCTGCCGGGTCTCTACTGCCTCAACGAGCGCGTGGTCCTCTCGGGGAGATGGAGTCACGGATTCATCGCCCTCGCCGCCGTGGGAGCCACCAACGTGGGCTCCATACGGGTCTACAGAGACCAGGTGGGGTCACGGGGGGGTCACGGGGGGTCACGGGGAGGTCACGGGGGTCACGGGAAGTCACGGGGGTCACGGATTCATCGCCCTCGCCGCCGTGGGAGCCACTAACGTGGGCTCCATACGGGTCTACAGAGACCAGGTGGGGGTCACGGGGGTCACGGGGGGTCATGGGGGGGTCACGGGGGGTCACGGGGGGTCACGGGGGGGGGGTGGGGGTCACGGGGGTAGAGTCAGAGAGTTCACTTGGAATAACCCCCCCCCTCTCTCTTTCCTACCCCCCCCCCTCCTACCCCCTCCTCCCCTCCCCCCCGTCCTCCTCCCCCCCTCTTCCTCCTCCCCCCCTCTTGCTCCCCCCCCTCCTCCCCTCCCCCCCTCCCCTCCCCCTCTCCTCTCCCTCCCCCCCCTCTCTCCTCCCTCTCCCCCTCCCTCCCCCCTCCTCCCCCCAGGAGCTGGAGACTAACTCCGCCCACCACCCCAGGGTGCCGTTCGTGGACCGCTGCTTCGTGACCCCCCCCACCGCTCATCCCACCGCTCGCGGCGACCCCCACGGGGACGAGCTGACCGATGGACTGACCAGTGGACTGACCAATGGACTGACCAATGGACTAACCAGTGGACTAACCAATGGACTGACAAATGGACTAACCAATGGACTGACCAATGGACTAACCAGTGGACTAACCAACGGACTGACCAATGGACTGACCAATGGACTGACCAGTGGACTGACCAGTGGACTAACCAATGGACTGACCAATGGACTAACCAATGGACTGACCAATGGACTAACCAGTGGACTAACCAACGGACTGACCAATGGACTGACCAATGGACTGACCAGTGGACTGACCAGTGGACTAACCAATGGACTGACAAATGGACTAACCAATGGACTGACCAATGGACTAACCAGTGGACTAACCAACGGACTGACCAATGGACTGACCAATGGACTGACCAATGGACTGACCAGTGGACTGACCAGTGGACTAACCAATGGACTGACCAATGGACTAACCAATGGACTGACCAATGGACTAACCAGTGGACTAACCAACGGACTGACCAATGGACTGACCAATGGACTAACCAGTGGACTGACCAATGGACTGACCAATGGACTAACCAATGGACTGACCAATGGACTGACCAATGGACTGACCAATGGACTGACCAACGGACTGACCAGTGGACTAACCAATGGACTAACCAACGGACTGACCAATGAACTGACCAGTAGACTAACCAACGGACTGACTAACGGACTGACCAATGGACTGACCAGTAGACTTCCCAATGGACTTCCCAATGGACTGACCAATGGACTTCCCAATGGACTGATCAATGAACTGACCAGTGGACTGACCAATGGACTGACCAGTGGACTGACCAGTGGACTAACCAGTGAACTGACCAATGAACTGACCAGTGAACTGACCAATGAACTGACCAGTGGACTGACCAATGAACTGACCAGTGGACTGACCAATGAACTGACCAGTGGACTGACCAATGGACTGACCAATGAACTGACCAATGAACTGACCAATGGACTGACCAATGAACTGACCAGTGGACTGACCAATGAACTGACCAGTGGACTGACCAATGAACTGACCAGTGAACTGACCAATGGACTGACCAATGAACTGACCAGTGGACTGACCAATGAACTGACCAGTGGACTGACCAATGAACTGACCAGTGGACTGACCAATGAACTGACCAATGAACTGACCAATGGACTGACCAATGAACTGACCAGTGGACTGACCAATGAACTGACCAGTGGACTGACCAATGAACTGACCAGTGAACTGACCAATGAACTGACCAATGAACTGACCAGTGAACTGACCAATGGACTGACCAGTGAACTGACCAGTGGACTGACCAGTGAACTAACCAATGGACTAACCAACGGACTGACCAGTGAACTGACCAATGGACTGACCAGTGGACTGACCAATGGACTGACCAGTGAACTGACCAATGGACTGACCAGTGGACTGACCAATGGACTGACCAGTGAACTGACCAATGAACTGACCAATGGGCTGACCAATGAACTGACCAATGGACTGACCAGTGGACTGACCAATGGACTGACCAGTGAACTGCCCAATGGACTGACCACTGGACCGACCGCTGCCATACTGACCCCCGGCAGAATATCGACGAGGTTAGTGGACGACGACGACGACGACGAGGTGGACAACGAGGTGGACAACGAGGTGGAGTCGTGGCCGGGTGGAGGCTGGGGACGCTGCGGGGGCCTGAGGGTGGACAAGGGTCACCCGCTGGGGGAGTTCAACTTGGGGTCAACCGTCGTGCTGCTGTTTGAGGCCCCCGCAAGGTTCAGATTCAGCGTTCGGCCCGGACAGAAGATCCGCTACGGGGAGGCGCTGGGGAACGTGTAGAACCTCGACACGCGTGTAGAACATCCTACACGCGTGTAGAACATCTACACACGCGTGTAGAACATCCACACGCGTGTAGAACATCCACACGCGTGTAGAACATCTATCCACACGCGTGTAGAACATCTATCCACACGCGTGTAGAACATCTATCCACACGCGTGTAGAACATCTATCCACACGCGTGTAGAACATCTATCTACACGCGTGTAGAACATCTATCTACACGCGTGTAGAACATCTATCTACACGCGTGTAGAACATCTATCTACACGCGTGTAGAACATCTATCTACACGCGTGTAGAACATCTATCTACACGCGTGTAGAACATCTATCTACACGCGTGTAGAACATCTATCTACACGCGTGTAGAACATCTATCTACACGCGTGTAGAACATCTATCCACACGCGTGTAGAACATCTATCCACACGCGTGTAGAACATCTATCCACACGCGTGTAGAACATCTATCCACACGCGTGTAGAACATCTATCCACACGCGTGTAGAACATCTATCCACACGCGTGTAGAACATCTATCCACACGCGTGTAGAACATCTATCCACACGCGTGTAGAACATCTATCCACACGCGTGTAGAACATCTATCCACACGCGTGTAGAACATCTATCTACACGCGTGTAGAACATCTATCTACACGCGTGTAGAACATCTATCTACACGCGTGTAGAACATCTATCTACACGCGTGTAGAACATCTATCTACACGCGTGTAGAACATCTATCTACACGCGTGTAGAACATCTATCTACACGCGTGTAGAACATCTATCTACACGCGTGTAGAACATCTATCTACACGCGTGTAGAACATCTATCTACACGCGTGTAGAACATCTATCTACACGCGTGTAGAACATCTATCTACACGCGGTAGAACATCTATCTACACGCGTGTAGAACATCTATCTACACGCGTGTAGAACATCTATCTACACGCGTGTAGAACATCTATCTACACGCGTGTAGAACCTCTATCTACACGCGTGTAGAACCTCCCACATGCGTGTAGAACATCTATCTACACGCGTGTAGAACATCTATCTACACGCGTGTAGAACATCTATCTACACGCGTGTAGAACATCTATCTACACGCGTGTAGAACATCTATCTACACGCGTGTAGAACCTCTATCTACACGCGTGTAGAACCTCCCACACGCGTGTAGAACATCTATCTACACGCGTGTAGAACCTCCCACATGCGTGTAGAACATCTATCTACACGCGTGTAGAACATCTATCTACACGCGTGTAGAACATCTATCTACACGCGTGTAGAACATCTATCCACACGCGTGTAGAACCTCCCACACGCGTGTAGAACATCTATCTACACGCGTGTAGAACCTCCCACATGCGTGTAGAACATCTATCTACACGCGTGTAGAACATCTATCTACACGCGTGTAGAACATCTATCTACACGCGTGTAGAACATCTATCCACACGCGTGTAGAACATCCACACGCGTGTAGAGCATCCACACGCGTGTAGAACATCTACACGTAGAACCAGAGGTCGCAAACGAGTTTTGATTCCTTACCCGTGTACCCGTACCCGGCCGCACCAGGGTCGCAAACGGGTAGCCGTACCCGGCCCGAAATGAGTGACAAACGGTGACTCACCATCTTATGGGTTCTTTCAGTAAAGTCACGTAGAAGGGAAATAATAAAATAATAAAAAACAAAACATAAAAAAATAATTCTCACGACCTTTCGGCCACAACGCAAGCAGCCGTCCTTAGGTGAAGAACAGCGTCTGTCGAGAAGACAGCGTCTGAATGAAACAGCACCAGGCTTGGCAGCGAATATTTAAACTGGGTTGGAGGGGGAAGGGCGCCTTGACTAAATAATTTGCACATCTCGATGTAAAGCTTCTTTCGTGACTGCAGCAGGGATTCATCTTCTTGGTTCTTTCGGTAAAGGCACGTAGAAGGGAAATAATAAAATAACAAAAATAAACCAATAAAATAATATAATCACATTTCGATTTAAAGCTTCTTTCGTGACTGCAGGGATTCATCTTCTTGGTTCTTTCGGTAAAGTCATCACGTAGAAGGGAAATAATAAAATAATAAAAAATAAAACATAATAAAATAATTCTCACGACGTTTCGGCCACAACGCAAGCAGCCGTCCTCAGGTGAAGAACAGCGTCTGTCGAGAAGACAGCGTCTGAATGAAACAGCACCAGGCTTGGCAGCGAATATTTAAGCTGCTGGGTTGGAGGGGGAAGGGCGCCTTGACAAAATAATTTGCATATCAACAGAGGGATTTAGCATATTTATGGTTGACTCACCAGTGACTCACGGCCTACCCGTACCCGGCCGTACCCGTACCCTACCCAGCCGGGTACGGGTAGGGTACGGGTATCGGGTACCCGATTGCGACCTCTGGGATGAAGCCATGTTGCAGGCGCGGGTGGGTTGATTCTAGGAACTTGAATTGTGAGAAGAGACAAGACGTTGGGAAATGAGTGACAAACGGTGACTCACCAGTGACTCACGGCCTACCCGTACCCGGCCGGGTAACGGGTAGCCGGGTATCGGGGGGTACCCGGTTGTGACCTCTGCTCTAACGCGTGAACGTCTACACGTGAACGGCCAGGCGTGGTGGTTCACGCGAGCTCGTCGTGACGACGATGATGACGACGACGACGATGAACGCTGTTCACGACCCTAACGATTGAAATAAAGGTGGCCACCTTGGCTCGGAGCGTGCAGGCTGCCCTGGTGAATGCTGCTGCTGCTGCTGCTGCGTCGTGTGTCCGGGAGATGTTGACGACCTCGCCAGGCACGCAGGAGGTCGTGGGTTCGATCCCGTGACCCTGACGATGCCTGACCCCACGTGACCTCCGCGGAGGGGTCCACGTGACCCCCACGTGACCCCCTCAGGGAGGGGTCCCGTGACCCCCACGTGACCCCCTCAGGGAGGGGTCCCGTGACCCCCACGTGACCCCCTCAGGGAGGGGTCCCGTGACCCCCACGTGACCCCCTCAGGGAGGGGTCACGTGACCCCCTCAGGGAGGGGTCACGTGACCCGCACGTGACCCCCTCAGGGAGGGGTCCCGTGACCCCCACGTGACCCCCACGTGACCCCCACGTGACCCCCACGTGACCCCCACGTGACCCCACGTGACCCCCACGCGACCCCCACCATCGCCACGGATTGACAGAGCACGGCAGCCGTGTGGACAACTTCTTGACAAAACGAAAATTCCTTTATTGGTGACGAGGTAACGAGGTAACGAGGCAACGAGGTGGGCGGTAACCCACCAGGCAGGGAGACAGGATGATGATGATGATGAGGCTGTTGGTGATGTTAGCGCAGCGTGTGAAAGAAGTTCACACACCGTGCGACACACGCGGTGCAGCACAACACACGTGGTACGACACACGTGGTACGACACAACACACGTGGTACGACACACGTGGTGCAACACACGTGGTGCAGCACAACACACGTGGTACGACACACGTGGTACGGCACAACACACGTGGTACGACACACGTGGTGCAACACACGTGGTGCAGCACAACACACGTGGTACAACACACGTGGTACGGCACAACACACGTGGTACGACACAACACACGTGGTACGACACACGTGGTGCAGCACAACACACGTGGTACAACACACGTGGTACGACACAACACACGTGGTACAACACACGTGGTACGACACAACACACGTGGTACAACACACGTGGTACGACACAACACACGTGGTACGACACACGTGGTGCAGCACAACACACGTGGTACGGCACAACACACGTGGTACGACACACGTGGTACGACACACGTGGTACAACACACGTGGTGCGACACACACACGTCACACACACACATCACACACACACACGCACTATACAACACACTACTACAAAGATCCCCCGTGTAGCCTTAACAGACTGTAGGGGCAAGTGCTGTTAGCGAGTAGCACCTATGAAGGCCGGCACGGTACACGAGGGGGTGGGTGGCCAGCACCACGCCCGGCCGCCTTTGTCTCCCCAGTGGCACAATGTTTACACACCGCACCAGATACTCATTTAAGGCTGAGTCGACCTAGGGGAGGCCCAGGACCGGTTCAGATAATCGTCACCGGTGTTGGCCGTGAGCGGGAATCGAACCCAGGGTCGCCAGGTTTGTAGCGCAGCGTAGCGCTAACCACTACACCCACCGCTCCCCATAGGGAGCGGTACGCACACACCACTCACACACACACTACACCACACACACCTGTACACCACACACACCACTCACACACACACGTACACCACACACGTACAACACACGTACACCACACCACACACACACACACCACACACACACACCACTCACACACACACGTACACACACACCACACACACCACTCACACACACCACACACACACACACCACTCACACACACGTACACCACACGTACAACACACGTACACCACACACACACCACACACACCACTCACACACACGTACACCACACGTACACCATACCACACCACTCACACACACACACCACTCACACACACACCACACCACACACACACACCACTCACTCACACACACACGTACACCACACGTACACCACACCACACGCACACCACACGCACACACCACGTGACACACACCACGTGACAAACACCACACCACACCCACCACATGACACACACACACACCACACACACCACGTGACACACCACACACACCACGTGACACACACACTACAGACACCACACGTGACACACACACACACCCCTCCCCTAGTCTCCGAGCTCGGCCGCCAGACACCGCAGCTTCTCCTTGAGGACCGCGAAAGGGTCCCCCCCCCCCCTCGGCCCCTCCCCCCCCCCGCCTCCCCCCCCTGCCCCTCCCCCCTCCCCCCCTGCCCCCTCCCCCCCTGCCCCCTCCCCCCCTGCCCCCTCCCCCCCTGCCCCCCCGTGTGTAGCGGGGGGCTCTACGCCGCTCCAGGGAGCAGTCACGGAACTCGACGGCGCGACGACGCTTCTGCTGGCTCATCAGCATGACGGTTGTGGTGGCGGTGGCGGTGGTGGCGGTGGTGGCGGTGGTGGTGGCGGTGCCCAGCACTCTCCTCGTCAGCGGCTCCTCGAAGATCGTCTCTATCGGCCTGGTGGTGGCGGCATCAGCAGCAGCAGCATCATCATCGCCAGCGTCATCAGCAGCAGCAGCAAGCAGCGTCATCAGTAACAGCGTCATCAGCAGCGTCATCATCATCAGTAACAGCGTCATCAGCAGCAGCAGTATCAGCGTCATCAGTAACAGCATCATCAGCAGCAGCAGTATCAGCGTCATCAGTAACAGCGTCATCAGCAGCAGCAGTATCAGCGTCATCAGCAGCAGCAGCATCAGCGTCATCAGTAACAGCGTCATCATCATCGCCAGCGTCATCATCATCGCCAGTGTCTCTGTGTGTGACAGACACACAGAGACACACAGACAGACACACACACAGACACACACACAGACACACACACAGACACACACAGACACACACAGACACACACAGACACAGACACACACAGACACACACAGAAACACACAGACACACACAGACACACACAGAAACACACAGAAACACACAGACACACAGACACACACAGACACACACAGAAACACACAGACACACACAGACACACACAGACACACACAGACACACACACACAGAGGCACACACACACAGAGACACACACACACAGACACAACAGGCGGCTCGTCGCTGCTGCCGGCACCGTGGGCTGTGCCACTGACCGATGCTTGACGGGGGTGACGTAGTTCAGGTTCAGATAAATCTCCTCCACTGTGAACTCGGACTTCTTCAGCCTGAGACACGCACGCATCGACACACAGACACATACACACACATACACACACACATACACACACGCACACACAGACGCACATGCACATACACATACACGCACACACACACATACATACACACACAGACACACGCACACATATACATACACACACACACGCACACACACATACACGTACACACACACATACACGCACACACAGACGCACATACACACAGACATACACACACGCACACACACATACATACACACACAGACACACGCACACACACATACACGCACACACACACACACACATACATACACACACACACAGACGCACATATACATACACATACACACACAGACACACGCACATATACATACACATACACACACACATACATACACACACACAGACGCACATATACATACACATACACACACAGACACACGCACACATATACATACACTTACACACACACGCACACATATACATACACGTACACACACGCACACACAGACGCACATATACATACACGTACACACACGCACACACAGACGCACATATACATACACATACACGCACGCACACACATACACATACACGCACGCACACACATACACATACACACACGCACACACAGACATATACATACACATATACATACACATACACGCACGCACACACATACACATACACACACGCACACACAGACATATACATACACATATACATACACATACACACACGCACACACAAATACACATACACACACGCACACACAGACATATACATACACATATACACATACACACACGCACACACAGACATATACATACACATATACATACACATACACACACGCACACACAAATACACATACACACACGCACACACAGACGCACACATACATACACATACACACACGCACACACATACACGCACACACACATACACGCACACACAGACGCACATATACATACACATACACACACACACACGCACACACAGACGCACATATACATACACATACACACACGCACACACAGACACACATATACATACACATACACACACGCACACACACATACACGTACACACACACATACACGCACACACAGACGCACATATACATACACATGCACGCACACACACACATACATACACATACACACACAGACACACGCACACATAGACAGACACACACACATTACACATACACGCACACACATTACACATACACACACAGACAGACAGACACACACGCATATACATAGACACATACACAGACAGACATACACACAGATAGACAAAGACACACACACACACACAGACACACACACAGAGACAACAACAACAACAACCGCCATTCGCCACTAGGTGGCGGTGACGTCACCACGACGCTTGTGCCAGGCCAAGTGCACCTTGAGGCTATCACATGAAGTGTCGAACGCCCGCTGGCAGGAGGTCACGGGACAGAAACAGCAGGTGCCACGGGTCGACTGACTAGTGGCATCTACATCTGCAGAACGTGAAGAACCAGTGGCATCTAGATCTACAGAACGTGAAGAACCAGTGGCATCTAGATCTACAGAACGTGAAGAACCAGTGGCATCTACATCTACAGAACGTGAAGAACCAGTGGCATCTAGATCTACAGAACGTGAAGAACCAGTGGCATCTAGATCTACAGAACGTGAAGAACCAGTGGCATCTACATCTACAGAACGTGAAGAACCAGTGGCATCTAGATCTACAGAACGTGAAGAACCAGTGGCATCTACAGAACGTGAAGAACCAGTGGCATCTACATCTGCAGAACATGACGAACCAGTGGCATCTACATCTGCAGAACGTGAAGAACCAGTGGCATCTACATCTACAGCACGTGAAGATCCAGTGGCATCTACATCTGCAGAACGTGAAGAACCAGTGGCATCTACATCTACAGAACGTGAAGAACCAGTGGCATCTACATCTACAGAACGTGAAGATCCAGTGGCATCTACATCTACAGAACGTGAAGAACCAGTGGCATCTACATCTACAGAACGTGAAGAACCAGTGGCATCTACATCTACAGAACGTGAAGATCCAGTGGCATCTACATCTGCAGAACGTGAAGAACCAGTGGCATCTACATCTGCAGAACGTCAAGATCCAGTGGCATCTACATCTACAGAACGTGAAGAACCAGTGGCATCTACATCTACAGAACGTGAAGATCCAGTGGCATCTACATCTGCAGAACGTGAAGAACCAGTGGCATCTACATCTACAGAACGTGAAGAACCAGTGGCATCTACATCTGCAGAACGTGAAGAACCAGTGGCATCTACATCTACAGAACGTGAAGAACCAGTGGCATCTACATCTACAGAACGTGAAGAACCAGTGGCATATACATCTGCAGAACGTGAAGAACCAGTGGCATCTACATCTGCAGAACGTGAAGAACTAGTGGCATCTACATCTGCAGAACGTGAAGAACCAGTGGCATCTACATCTACAGAACGTGAAGAACCAGTGGCATCTACATCTACAGAATGTGAAGAACCAGTGGCATCTAGATCTGCAGAACCAGTGGCATCTATATCTACAGAACGTGAAGAACCAGTGGCATCTACATCTACAGAATGTGAAGAACCAGTGGCATCTACATCTGCAGAACGTGAAGAGCCAGTGGCATCTACATCTACAGAATGTGAAGAACCAGTGGCATATACATCTGCAGAACGTGAAGAACCAGTGGCATCTACATCTGCAGAACGTGAAGAACTAGTGGCATCTACATCTGCAGAACGTGAAGAACCAGTGGCATCTACATCTACAGAACGTGAAGAACCAGTGGCATCTACATCTACAGAATGTGAAGAACCAGTGGCATATACATCTGCAGAACGTGAAGAACCAGTGGCATCTACATCTGCAGAACGTGAAGAACTAGTGGCATCTACATCTGCAGAACGTGAAGAACCAGTGGCATCTACATCTACAGAACGTGAAGAACCAGTGGCATCTACATCTACAGAATGTGAAGAACCAGTGGCATCTAGATCTGCAGAACCAGTGGCATCTATATCTACAGAACGTGAAGAACCAGTGGCATCTACATCTACAGAATGTGAAGAACCAGTGGCATCTACATCTGCAGAACGTGAAGAGCCAGTGGCATCTACATCTACAGAATGTGAAGAACCAGTGGCATATACATCTGCAGAACCAGTGACATCTACATCTACAGAACGTGAAGAACCAGTGGCATCTACATCTGCAGAACCAGTGGCATCTACATCTACAGAACGTGAAGAACCAGTGGCATCTACATCTACAGAACGTGAAGAACCAGTGGCATCTACACCTGCAGAACCAGTGACATCTACATCTACAGAACGTGAAGAACCAGTGGCATCTACACCTGCAGAACCAGTGACATCTACATCTACAGAACGTGAAGAACCAGTGGCATCTACATCTGCAGAACCAGTGGCATCTACATCTGCAGAACGTGAAGAACCAGTGACATCTACATCTACAGAACGTGAAGAACCAGTGGCATCTACATCTGCAGAACCAGTGGCATCTACATCTACAGAACGTGAAGAACCAGTGGCATCTACATCTGCAGAACGTGAAGAACCAGTGGCATCTACATCTACAGAACGTGAAGAACCAGTGGCATCTACATCTGCAGAACGTGAAGAACCAGTGGCATCTACATCTACAGAACGTGAAGGACCAGTGGCATCTACATCTGCAGAACCAGTGGCATCTACATCTGCAGAACGTGAAGAACCAGTGGCATCTACATCTACAGAACGTGAAGAACCAGTGGCATCTACATCTGCAGAACGTGAAGAACCAGTGGCATCTACATCTGCAGAACGTGAAGAACCAGTGGCATCTACATCTGCAGAACGTGAAGGAGCGGGGGGAGTTTGTTAACGGAGACAGCGAGAAAGGAAAAAAAGGATCCCGGAGCTCACCGCTTTGCCTTGGGGAGGCCCATGGGGGTGAGGGAAGTCCCGGAGCGGACCGGCGTCTTACGGATCCGGATCTGGGACACGCGCTGGCTGCGTGGAGGAGCCGGAGCCACCGGAACTACTGGAACGGACTCACCGGCCCCTTCTTTGCACACGACCTGCGAGCACACAGACAAAGGTAGCCTCGAGCAGGGCTGCAGGGGCAAGTGCTGCTAGTGGCACCACCTATGATACACACACAGACAAAGCTCCCCCAGATAGCCTCCAGCAGGGCTGTAGGGGCAAGTGCTGCTAGTAGCGAGTAGCACCACCTATGATGTACACACAAAGCTCCCCCACAGTCACACTCACACACAGTCTCACACACACACAGCCACACTCACACTCACACACAGTCACACTCACACACAGCCACACAGTCTCACACACACACAGCCACACTCACACTCACAGCCACACTCACACACACACAGCCACACAGTCTCACACACACACAGCCACACTCACACTCACACACAGTCACACTCACACACAGCCACACTCACACACAGTCACACACTCACAGTCACACACAGTCACACACAGTCACACTCACAGGCTGTTGCGTCTCTTCCCGCGGTCCCACTGCGCACACCGCTGTGGTGTCTAGCGCGGCCATCTCCGGCAGGACGCCCCGGCCAGCGTCCACCACCTCCACCATCTCGGCGTCCACCACCTCCACCATCTCAGCGTCCACCACCGCTGCCCCAACGGTCAGTCGACCGTCGTCCGCTCCAACATCTACAGCCTCTGTCCTCATCTCTTCCTCCCCACCACCATCACCACCACCACCATCTTCGTCATCATCGCCACCATCACCATCGTCGTCGCCATAGCGATCATCGCCACCACCACCACCATCATCTTCGTCGTCGCGATCAACGCCAACATCACCAACACCACCACCATCACCATCTTCGTCATTGCCACCACCGCCACCACCACCATCATCTTCGTCGCGATCAACGCCAACACCACCACCATCATCTTCACCACCACCGCCACCACCATCATCATCAACATCGCCATAGCGATCGTCACCACCACCACCACCGTCACCACGGTGCTGGTGGTGATGGTGGTGAATCTTCAACGGCGGCATCGGCAGGTCGGGGAAGAAGCACTCCAAGAAGGGAGATTTGGTTGGCGGCGAGAGCGTCGACCCGCGCGGCGTGCGAGGAGACAGCATCAGGAAGCAGCCCGCCACGGTGGTGGCGGTTGTGGCGGTTGTTGTGCCGGTTGTGCCGGTGGTGGTGGTGCCGGCGGTGGTCGCGATTGTCGGAAGCCTCCACCCAAAGTTGGCGCGGTGGTTGTGGCGATTGCGGTGGTGGTGGCGGTGACGCGGCGATAGACGCAGGCACCTACCAACGTCGCAAGCGTCGCCACCATCACCACCGTCACCACCGTCACCGTCACCGGTGCAGCGGTTGTAGCCGGAGTTGTGCCGATAGCCGCCGGGCGGAGGGCGAGTGGGCGAGGCCAAGACGTCGGGGACGTGGTGGAGGTGGTGGTGGAACGTGGCGGCGAGGGAGCGCGCCGGCGGCAAGCTCAGCCGCTGTGCCAACGCCGCGACGGTGACGCTGCTGGTGGTCGTGGTGGTGACGGTGGTGCCGTGTGGTGGCGTGGTGGTGGCGGTGGTGGCATGTGGTGGCGTGGTGGTGGTGGTTGCCGTGGTGGCATGTGGTGGCGTGGTGGATGAGAGGGTAGTGGTGGTGGCGGTGGTGGCTCGTGGTGGCGTGGTGGTGGTGGTTGCCGTGGTGCCGTGTGGTGGCGTGGTGGTGGTGGTGGCATGTGGTGGCGTGGTGGTGGATGAGAGGGTGGTGGTGGTGGGTCCTGGTGGAGATGGTGGAGGCTGGGCCACAGTGGAGGTGGTGGTGGACAGGAGATCAACGTTGGGTGGAGCGGTGACGGCCATCTGGATGAAGTCTCTTGCTGATGGGAGAGACACGGGGGGGGGGGGGGGGGGGATACGGGGGGGACACGAGGTTCACCACCGCCACCACCATCACAGTCACCATCATCGCCACCACCATCACAGTCACCATCATCGCCACCGCCACCACCGTCATCGTCACCACCACCGTCACCACCACCACCACCACCACCACCGTCACCATCACCACCACCGTCACCACCACCGTCACCACCACCGTCACCACCATCACCACCACCACCACCACCGCCATCGCCACCACCGTCACCACCACCACCACCACCACCACCACCGTCACCACCGCCACCACCGTCACCACCACCACCGTCACCACAATCACCACCGTCACCACCACCGTCACCGTCACCGTCACCGTCACCATCACCACCGTCACCACAATCACCACCGTCACCACCACCACCGTCACCGCCACCGCCACCACAATCACCACCACCACCACCACCGCTATCTCACCGCCGCGTGTTCCGTAGCGTCGACCCCTCAGCTCCAGCGGCACCACCTCCCTCGCCGCTCCGTCTCCCCGGGGGACGTTCCCCCGTCCCTCCGCTCCTCCACCCGCTCCACCACCTCCTCCACCACCTCCACCACCTCCAACAGATCCACCAGATCCACCCGCTCCACCCACTCCACCACCTCCACCCGCTCCACCCTCCGCCGCTCCGTCTCCCCGGGGGACGTTCCCGCGTCCCTCCGCTCCCTCGACCTCGCGACCTCCCCCACGCCGCCGCCTCGCCCCGGTGTTATCCAGCGGCGGTGGCGGTGAGTGGTGGTGGTGGTGGCGGTGGTGGTTGTGGCGGTTGTTGTGGTTGTTGTGGTTGGTTGGGAGTGGAGCCGGGTCCATCGCCGGGACTGTGGGACACCGCCTCGGGCGTTGGCAGCGTGGCCGGGCGGTGGTGGCGGTGGTGGCGGTGGTGGCGGTGGTGGCGGTGGTGGCGGTGGTGGCGGCGGCGGGCAGGAATCGCCGAATCCTCCGGGAGGGCCCGTCCATGCCGGTTGTTGACGCAGCCATTAACATTCAGCAGCGGAGAGAGCGCGGTGATGACACTGAGACACAGAGACAACAACAACAACAAACACACTATACAACAACAACAACAAACACACTATACAACAACAACCGCCATTCGCCACTAAGTGGCGGTGACATCACCACGACACTTGTGCCAGACCACGTGCACCTTAAGGCTATCACGTGAAGTGTCACACACACACCTACACACACACACACAGGTACACACACACACACCTACACACACAGGTACACACACACCTACACACGCACACAGGTAGACACACACAGGTAGACACAACAACAACCGCCATTCGCCACTAAGTGGCGGTGACGTCACCACGGCGCTTGTGCCAGGCCATGTGCACCTTGAGGCTATCACGTGAAGTGTCGAACGCCCGCTGGCAGGAGGTCACGGGGCAGACCCAGCAGGTGCCACGGGTCGACTGACCGAGATGACCGAGATGACTGGCTGATGCACCACCTGTGCCCCCTACTGTGCCAACTCGCTGTGCTTTAGCCACCGGCGATCCGCTCGTTGTTGTGAGCGCCGCTCCTCCGCCCTCCGTTGTTGTTGGAGGGCGACTGCCTCCAACTGCCCAGTAGCGTCCTTCACGAGCCTCCTCCACTGAGGCCGATCTTGACACCGCTGGTACCGGTCATCAGCAAGTCCACTCAGCTCCACGTCCTCCTGTACCACATCACTCCATCTCTTCTCTAGCCCGTGCCGCGCCCGTCTAGCCCCCTCGATCCGGCCGAACAAAAGCTGTTTAGGCATGCGGTGGCTGGGCATGCGGTGGCTGGGCATGCGGGCTACATGACCCAGCCAACGCAGCCTTGCCTGCCGGAGGAGCTCACTGATGGGACTTTGCCCAGATCTTTCAAGGATTTGTGAGCTCCTCACAAAATCCAGCCTGCAGGTTAAACCCAGGATGGATCGTAGGCAGGCCAGCCTAAATGTTTCCAACCGGCGAAGATGCTCCACTAGGGGGGATCCACGTTTCGCAAGCGTAGAGAAGGGAGGGAATGACCGTGGCCGAGAAGACCCGAAGCTTCGTGCGGAGTGACAGACCAGGTAGCTTCCACACGGCGTTACGCAACCGATGAAAAGATATTGCCGCTCGACTGATTCGGAGTGAGACTTATGCTGATAAACTGGAGCCGGTCATGAGCACACTGTCCAGGTATGGGAAACTCTCCACTCTCTCCACAACTGCCCCATCACCGATTGGGAGTTGTGGGGGTGGAGTGTCCGATGGTACAAAATACCCAGGCAGGTGCTTAGTTTTGGTGGGGCTGATGGTAAGGCCCCACCTCTTAGTGGCACGCTCCAGTCTCAGCAGCAGCGTCTCCAACTCCTCCTCTGAATGAGCCGAGATTACCAGATCATCGGCATACATCACGTGGTTGAGCAATAGGGAGCCATCCCTTGATCGCACCCGGGAATCGATCAGCCTCCCATTATATCTGTACCAAATGGAAATTCCTCCGGTACACCATCACCACCATCATCATCATCACCACCATCACCACCATTACCACCACCATCACCACGACCATCACCACCACCATCACGACCACCATCACCACCACCACCATCACCACCACCATCACCACCACCACCACCTGCTCCACCTGCAAGTAGTCACCCACCTGCTCCACCACCTGCTCCACCTTTTTCCACCACCACCTACACCACCACCTACACCACCACCACCTCCACCCTGGAAGTAGTCACCCACCTGCTCCACCACCACCTACACCACCATCATCACCACCTACACCACCTGCTCCACCCTACAAGTAGTCACCCACCTGCTCCACCACCACCACCACCTGCTCCACCATACAAGTAGTCACCCACCTGCTCCACCACCACCTCCACCACCTACACCACCACCACCATCACCACCACCACCTGCTCCATCCTACAAGTAGTCACCCACCTGCTCCACCACCACCACCTACACCACCACCACCACCTGCTCCACCCTACAAGTAGTCACCCACCTGCTCCACCATCACCACCTACACCACCACCACCATCACCACCACCACCTGCTCCACCCTACAAGTAGTCACCCACCTGCTCCACCACCACCACCACCTGCTCCACCATACAAGTAGTCACCCACCTGCTCCACCACCACCTCCACCACCTACACCACCACCACCATCACCACCACCACCTGCTCCATCCTACAAGTAGTCACCCACCTGCTCCACCACCACCACCTACACCACCACCACCACCACCACCTGCTCCACCCTACAAGTAGTCACCCACCTGCTCCACCATCACCACCTACACCACCACCACCATCACCACCACCACCTGCTCCACCCTACAAGTAGTCACCCACCTGCTCCACCACCACCACCACCTGCCCCACCATACAAGTAGTCACCCACCTGCTCCACCACCACCTCCACCACCTACACCACCACCACCATCACCACCACCACCTGCTCCATCCTACAAGTAGTCACCCACCTGCTCCACCACCACCACCTACACCACCACCACCATCACCACCACCACCTGCTCCACCCTACAAGTAGTCACCCACCTGCTCCACCACCACCACCACCTGCCCCACCATACAAGTAGTCACCCACCTGCTCCACCACCACCTCCACCACCTACACCACCACCACCATCACCACCACCACCACCACCTGCTCCACCCTACAAGTAGTCACCCACCTGCTCCACCACCACCACCTACACCACCACCACCATCACCACCACCACCTGCTCCACCCTACAAGTAGTCACCCACCTGCTCCACCATCACCACCTACACCACCACCACCATCACCACCACCACCTGCTCCACCCTACAAGTAGTCACCCACCTGCTCCACCTTCTTCCACCTCTCCTCGTCCTCCCAGCGCGATGTCGCCACGCGGAGCGGAGCAGCCGCCGCGGCGGTGACGAGATTCACTTCGTGCAACGCTTTTAAAATGTTCAAGAGACTGGCAAATCTCCCACATGTACTACAACTACAACGACAATTATTATATAACTACTACTACAACAACAACACGAATTATAACGATTCTAGCAACTATAATAACAGTAATAGCGATAAGAACTAAAATGTAAAACTTCTAATTCTGACTCCAACACGCGCCACATTTCGTACATGTCGCTCCCGGCAGCGACAATTTAAACCGTGAGGGGGGGGGGGAGACGGAAGTGACGTCACAGCACGAGACCACTCGGCGGCCATGTTGGGTAGGGAGACGGCCATGTTGGGTAGGGGAGCGGCCATGTTGGAAAGGGAGGTGGGCATGTTGGGGAGGGGAACGGCCATGTTGGGTAGGGGGGCGAGCATGTTGGGGAGGGGAACGGCCATGTTGGGTAGGAGGGCGGGCATGTTGGGGAGGGGAACGGCCATGTTGGGTAGGAGGGCGGGCATGTTGGGGAGGGGAACGGCCATGTTGGGTAGGAGGGCGGGCATGTTGGGGAGGGGAACGGCCATGTTGGGTAGGAGGGCGGGCATGTTGGGGAGGGGAACGGCCATGTTGGGTAGGGGGGCGGGCATGTTGGGGAGGGAAACGGCCATGTTGGGTAGGGGGGCGGGAATGTTGGGGGGGGGCGGGCATGTTGGGTAGGAGGGCGGGCATGTTGGGGAGGGGAACGACCATGTTGGAAAAAGAACGGCCATGTTGGGTAGGGAAGCGGGCATGTTGGAAAGGGAGGCGGGAATGTTGGGTAGGGGATGACGGGCATGTTGGGGAGGGAACGGCCATGTTGGGTAGGGGGGCGGGCATGTTGGGGAGGGAACGGCCATGTTGGGTAGGGGGGCGGGCATGTTGGGTAGGGGATGACGGGCATGTTGGGTAGGGGCGCGGGCATGTTGGGGAGGGAACGGCCATGTTGGGTATGGGGGCGGGCATGTTGGAAAGGGAACGGCCATGTTGGGTAGGGGGGCGGGAATGTTGGGGGGGGGGCGGCCATGTTGGGTGGGGGGAGGGGGGGCGGACGACAGCAATGTTGGGTGAGGGGCGGCGGCCATGTTGGGTGAGGGGTGGCGGCCATGTTTAATGGGGCCGGAGACCATTTTTGATGGTGGGCAGCCATGTTGGATATGGGCGGCGGCGGACATATTGGATGAGGCGACTGCCATGTTGGGTGGGGAAGGGTTACCATGTTGGATGGGGCAGCAGCAGCGACCCTCCCCCCAATTGGTTAAATAGAGGAGGTGGGTGCGGAGGATGAGTTCCCTACGTAATATGGCCGCCCAAGGTTGTTGATTCCCCTACGTAAGATGGCCGCCCAAGGGTGTTGATTTTTTCCTACGTAAGATGGCCGCCCAAGGTGTTTGTTCCCCTACGTAAGATGGCCGCCCAAGGGTGTTGATTTTTTTCCTACGTAAGATGGCCGCCCAAGGTGTTGATTTTCCTACGTAAGATGGCCGCCCAAGGGTGTTGATTCCCCTACGTAAGATGGCCGCCCAAGGGTGTTGATTCCCCTACGTAAGATGGCCGCCCAAGGGTGTTGATTCCCCTACGTAAGATGGCCGCCCAAGGTTGTTGATTCCCCTACGTAAGATGACCGCCTAATGGTGTTGATTTTTCCTACGTAAGATGGCCGCCCAAGGGTGTTGATTCCCCTACGTAAGATGGCCGCCCAAGGTTGTTAATTTTCCTACGTAAGATGGCCGCCCAAGGGTTTGGAATTGTCTTCCAAAAGATTCTTCCGGAAGATGCTTTCCCTCATTGGTTTCCATGGGAACTGTCTTCCGGAAGATTCTTCCGGAAGATGCTTTCCCTCATTGGTTTCTATGGGAACTGTCTTCCGGAAGATTCTTCCGGAAGATGCTTTCCCTCATTGGTTTCTATGGGAACTGTCTTCCGGAAGATTCTTCCGGAAGATGCTTTCCCTCATTTGTTTGTATTAGTTTGTATTTGCCGCTCACCGTGCTGAATCTATCTTCCGATATTGGTAGAGTCTTCCTCTTCCGGAAGATACTATCCAACCCGTTCGTTTGCATTGGCCGTTCATCTTCCGGAAGATTTCCTCCGACACCCCATCTTCCGCTTCCGGAAGAAGAAGACCACGCCCCCCCTTGTCACCATGGAGACGGCGATGGCGTCTAAGACGACGGCAATGGCGGCGGTGGACGAGAAGGTGGAGATGGGGATGAGTGGAGAAGGTGGAGGAGGTGGAGGAGGTGGAGGTGGTGGAGGTGGTGGAGGAGGAGGGGAGGAGGTGGTGGGGATGAGGGGGAGGAGGCGGAGGAGTTCTCAGAGCTATGAAGAGTTCCTGGACTCGCACATCAACGCACGAGATCTCTACTACCTTGAGGTGTGAGGGACTCACTCAGTCAGAGACTCACTCACTCAGTCACTCACTCACTCAGTCACTCACTCACTCAGAGACTCACTCAGAGACTCACTCAGTCAGTCACTCACTCAGTCAGTCACTCACTCAGAGACTCACTCAGAGACTCACTCACTCAGTCACTCACTCACTCAGTCACTCACTCACTCAGACACTCACTCAGAGACTCACTCAGTCAGTCACTCACTCAGTCAGTCACTCACTCAGAGACTCACTCAGAGACTCACTCACTCAGTCACTCACTCACTCAGTCACTCACTCACTCAGAGACTCACTCAGAGACTCACTCAGTCACTCACTCACTCAGTCACTCACTCACTCAGAGACTCACTCAGAGACTCACTCAGTCAGTCACTCACACAGTCAGTCACTCACTCAGAGACTCACTCAGAGACTCACTCACTCAGTCACTCACTCACTCAGTCACTCACTCACTCAGACACTCACTCAGAGACTCACTCAGTCAGTCACTCACTCAGTCAGTCACTCACTCAGAGACTCACTCAGAGACTCACTCACTCAGTCACTCACTCACTCAGTCACTCACTCACTCAGAGACTCACTCAGAGACTCACTCAGTCACTCACTCACTCAGTCACTCACTCACTCAGAGACTCACTCAGAGACTCACTCAGTCAGTCACTCACACAGTCAGTCACTCACTCAGAGACTCACTCAGAGACTCACTCACTCAGAGACTCACTCACTCAGTCACTCACTCAGAGACTCACTCACTCAGAGACTCACTCAGAGACTCACTCACTCAGTCAGAGACTCACTCACTCAGAGACTCACTCAGTCACTCACTCAGAGACTCACTCAGTCACTCACTCAGAGACTCACTCAGTCACTCACTCAGAGACTCACTCAGTCACTCACTCAGTCACTCACTCAGTTACTCACTCACTCAGAGACTCACTCAGAGACTCACTAAGTCAGTCACTCACTCAGTCACTCACTCAGTCACTCACTCACTCAGAGACTCACTCAGAGACTCACTCAGTCAGTCACTCACTCAGTCACTCACTCAGTCACTCAGTCAGTCACTCACTCAGTCACTCACTCACTCAGAGACTCACTCAGAGACTCACTCAGTCAGTCACTCACTCAGTCACTCACTCAGTCACTCACTCACTCAGAGACTCACTCAGAGACTCACTCAGTCAGTCACTCACTCAGTCACTCACTCAGTCACTCAGTCAGTCACTCACTCAGTCACTCACTCACTCACTCAGAGACTCACTCAGAGACTCACTCAGTCAGTCACTCACTCAGTCACTCACTCAGTCACTCACTCACTCAGAGACTCACTCAGAGACTCACTCAGAGACTCAGTCACTCACTCACTCAGTCACTCACTCAGTCACTCACTCAGTCACTCACTCACTCAGAGACTCACTCAGAGACTCACTCAGAGACTCACTCACTCAGAGACTCACTCCGAGACTCACTCACTCAGAGACTCACTCAGAGACTCACTCAGAGACTCACTCAGAGACTCACTCAGAGACTCACTCACTCAGAGACTCACTCACTCACTCAGAGACTCACTCAGAGACTCACTCACTCAGAGACTCACTCACTCAGAGACTCACTCACTCACTCAGAGACTCACTCACTCAGAGACTCACTCAGAGACTCACTCACTCACTCAGAGACTCACTCAGAGACTCACTCACTCAGAGACTCACTCACTCAGAGACTCACTCAGAGACTCATTCACTCAGAGACTCACTCACTCAGAGACTCACTCAGAGAATCACTCAGAGGCTCACTCAGAGACTCACTCACTCAGAGACTCACTCACTCAGAGACTCACTCAGAGACTCACTCACTCAGAGACTCACTCACTCAGAGACTCACTCAGAGACTCACTCACTCACTCAGAGACTCACTCAGAGACTCACTCACTCAGAGACTCACTCACTCAGAGACTCACTCAGAGACTCACTCAGAGACTCACTCACTCACTCAGAGACTCACTCACTCAGAGACTCACTCAGAGACTCACTCAGAGACTCACTCAGAGACTCACTCACTCACTCAGAGACTCACTCACTCAGAGACTCACTCACTCAGAGACTCACTCACTCAGAGACACACTCACTCAGAGACTCACTCAGAGACTCACTCAGAGACTCACTCACTCAGAGACGCACTCACTCAGAGACTCACTCACTCACTCAGAGACTCACTCACTCAGACACTCACTCACTCACTCAGAGACTCACTCACTCAGAGACTCACTCACTCAGAGACTCACTCACTCAGAGACTCACTCAGAGACTCACTCAGACACTCACTCAGAGACTCACTCAGAGACTCACTCACTCAGAGACTCACTCAGAGACTCACTCAGAGACTCACTCAGAGACTCACTCACTCAGAGACTCACTCAGAGACTCACTCAGACACTCACTCAGAGACTCACTCACTCAGAGACTCACTCACTCAGAGACTCACTCACTCAGAGACTCACTCAGAGACTCACTCAGACACTCACTCAGAGACTCACTCACTCAGAGACTCACTCACTCAGAGACTCACTCAGAGACTCACTCACTCAGACACTCACTCACTCAGAGACTCACTCAGAGACTCACTCACTCAGAGACTCACTCAGACACTCACTCACTCAGAGACTCACTCAGAGACTCATTCACTCAGAGACTCACTCAGAGACTCACTCACTCACTCAGAGACTCACTCACTCAGAGACTCACTCAGAGACTCACTCACTCACTCAGAGACTCACTCACTCAGAGACTCACTCACTCAGAGACTCACTCAGAGACTCACTCAGAGACTCAC